GCGCATGGCGGGGGGGGGTATCTCCGGTAGCGAGCGGCGGGATGACCCGCCACGCCGAGCGGGGGGGCTCAGCAGGGCTGGGGGACCCCCGTGGCGGGAAGGGGCTCCCCGTGGGGGGGCAGGATCGCGGTCCCGCTCCAGGCCCGAGCAGGCGCCCCGGGTTGAAGAGTTGGTGCGAGTCCGAAGGCAAGCGATGGATTAACGGGGAACGGCAAAACGAGCCTCGACTTCTGTTAGAACTTCGTGGGGTTCTTGGAAAAGAAAGGCCGAGAAACATATTGCTTTGTTATAGTGATTTTTCCGTACACACTGATGGGCCGTAGAATCAGCAAATAATTGGGCTGGAAGGGACCTTTAAAGGCCATGGAGCGCCCTGGGCAATCTCCAGCCAGACCAGGTTGCCCAAAGCCCCGTCCAGCCTGGCCTGGGGTGTCTCCAGGGATGGGGCATCTCCCACCCCTGGGCAGCCTGGGCCAGGGTCTCACCACCCCCCGCCTAAAACATTTCTTCCTTAAATCTAGTCTAAATCTTCTCTAGTTTGGTTTAAAGCCGTTACCCCTTGTCCTGGTGCAACAGGCCCTGCTAAAGAGTTTGTCCCCATTTTTCTTACAAGTTCCCTTTAAGTACCGAAAGGCCTTTTGCTAAAAGTTGAAATGTGCTACCGGTAGAGCTGGAGGAGAGTGGGTACGGTGTGGCGAAAGTGCGGAGCGGAGCGCGCAGGCGCCGTCCTCGCCGCCGCCCCGGCCTGGAGGGGAACAAAGGGAGCGCGGCCGGAGCGGGTGAGTCGGGGCGGCCTGACCCTACCGCGGCGGGGCGGGCAGGCCCCGGGACACGCCGCGGCCTCGGGAGCGGCCTAAGCTGGAGGGGAGCGAGGGGACAGGCCCCGGGCTCGGCCCCCGGCCCGTTCGCGGAGGGGGGGGCTGCGTGGCGGGGTGAGGGGCCGCCGCGCATGGCGGGGGGGGGGGTCTCCGGGGGGGTGGCGGGAAGGGGCTCCCCGTGGGGGGGCAGGATCGCGGTCCCGCTCCAGGCCCGAGCAGGCGCCCCGGGTTGAAGAGTTGGTGCGAGTCCGAAGGCAAGTGTTGGATTAACGGGGAACTGCAGAAAGAGCCTCGACTCCTGTTAGAACTTCGTGGGGTTACTTGAGAAGAAAGGCCGAAAAACATAGTGCTTTGTTATAGTGATTTTTCCGTACATACTGATGGGCCGTAGAATCAGCAAATAATTTGGGCTGGACGGGACCTTTAAAGGCCATGGAGCGCCCTGGGCAATCTCCAGCCAGACCAGGTTGCCCAAAGCCCCGTCCAGCCTGGCCTGGGGTGTCTCCAGGGATGGGGCATCTCCCACCCCTGGGCAGCCTGGGCCAGGGTCTCACCACCCCCCGCCTAAAACATTTCTTCCTTAAATCTAGTCTAAATCTTCTCTAGTTTGGTTTAAAGCCATTACCCCTTGTCCTGGTGCAACAGGCCCTGCTAAAGAGTTTGTCCCCATTTTTCTTACAAGTTCCCTTTAAGTACCGAAAGGCCTTTTGCTAAAAGTTGAAATGTGCTGGTATCCCATGGCCTGTGATACTGCTGCTGGTGTGTTGAGCAATCGAGGCTTTTTTGTACCATGTGAAGGAGATAACATTTAATTCACTCATTTATACATTCATACTGGTTTCCTGAAACAATCAGTGTAAAATAATGGCATATATTCTTTTTATTTCTTAAGGAAAAACAATATTTAAAACCTTCAATATGAAAATGACATAAACCTGAGTGTTATTTCGCAGCTCTTTAAGGCCAGATTCGTTGGAAAGTACATTCATTTTTCAAAGAGATAACACTTCAGTTTTTAGACACTTTTGTCTAAAGTCTTTTGGTAATCAGTGGTAACTATAATTGAAGTTTCAAAGATTTGGGGAAGGAAAGGCATAATACTTAATAGCGTGATATTCTTTTGTCTTTCAGAAGTACAAATATAATGTCAGGTGGCTGAAAATTTGCCTATCAAAATGTCAAGTAAGTTTTCGGATTTTTCTTCCTTTACCTTGATGAATTAAGGATCTGGTTCAGCAGAACCTGTTTCTGAGAGAATCCTATTACTCCTTGCACTAAATGGAAGGATACGAAGTGTAGTCACTTCTGACCAAACTCTTGGCCTTAAATCTTGCTGTGGCTGATTTCTGGCATATTATTTTCATAGGAAATCCAAATATCACTGCTTCTCCTCAGTCCTGTTTCACTGCATTTTTGCTTGCCCTCTTTTTAATTGATGTGCATATGAATGGATTTGATATTCCTCAGTCTTATGCCTAAATAAAAGGTTAGCAATATAGCGGTGGTGTGGTCTTAATTCTTTTCTCTCTCTTGTGTTCTTTGCTTTACTCTCTTCAGTGGCAAAATGCAGAGTCTTTGAGAGTAGGATTTCTGGCTTGTTTTTGTAAATCGCTTAAAAACACTTGCCTCAGCACATGCCTTATAAAAAGTTCGTTCAAATTTTCAAGAAAAAAAAAAATTGCTTACATTTATATCTTAACAGAAAGGCCATCTTATGCCCCACCTCCTACCCCAGCTCCTGCAACCGTAAGTATAGTGATTTTTCTCATTAACACAGAGCTGGTAATACAGCCTTTAGTGACTTACCAGAGCAGTAATTTCAGAGTTGCATCACCTTCCTGTATCAGAAATACAAACTAGTTGTATTTCATTATGAATATGATATGCACTGTTTAAATTAATCTCATAATTTTTTTAAGCAGTTTGCGGAAGAGAAGCTGAATAAACCTGTTTCACCTTTAAGGCTAGATCTAGCAGATAAACTGAATTTTCTGTAAGCAGTCGAGTGGTATAAAATTACTCACAGTGAGTTGCAGCAGCATACTGGAATATTTAAGAACAAACTGATATATTTAATTCTAAAGCTTCCCACTCAACTCCTGCCCAAATCATGGGTAAACGGTGCATTTTCGCATGTTTCTGTCGTACCTGGCTGCAGGAACATGCCAAATTCTGTTACCTTGGGTCAGAAAAACGAAACACTCATGATGCCAGTTCTTACTCAAATTTCTTGAAATCACTGGTGTTTTGGAGCCTATGGCGTAAGAAATACTTTCTAATAAAATGGTATGGAATGGCACTGGGGAAAATGTGACCAGGAGCTTTGAATCCTGTCCAATTGCATTCATGCCTGGTTAAAAAGGTACAGAAATACCAGTGTGCTGTGGCCAGGAGAGCATTTGAAAGCAAATGCACCTCTCCTGCTGCGTTCACATTTCTAATTAGCTTGTGTTTTAGGACTAACATACTCACAAATATCTTGTACAGATGAATGAGCGGAGATGCTATAGTGAATTTTTTTTTACCAAAGACAATTTGAAAGCTGTTATAGCTTGTGTTTTAGGACTAACATGCTCACATACAAATATTTTGTACAGATGAATAAGCAGAGATGCTATAGTGAAATTTTTTTACCAAAGACAATTTGAAAGCTGTTTCCCGATAGAGTGTCCCCGATCCCTGCATCTGGGATGGAAACTGCAGGATGGGATCTAGGTTAAATGTGATCCTTCAGGTTTATTGTGCCATGATTTACATGAGGCTTGCGAATTATATATTGTATAAATATCTAAATTTACAGAAATAAAACTTTATCTGCATAGTTTGTTCAGAGTTTTCATTTTGCACACAACTTGGTAGATCTGTGCCAGTGTTAGGAGGGACCTGATGGCATCTGCTCTTACAGCTGGGTCCCAGCACAGAGATCTGCATGTGTGTGTGATTCCTCTGGGGCAGGGCACGGGTACAGGTGCTGTTAACAGTGTATCTCCATGTGGTGTATTTTTTAGTCAAGCTGAGAGCCTTCAGAAGGGTACATAAAACTAATTTCAAAACTGCAACTAGTGGTGTGTGTTACCTGTCTCCTGTGATATTTATATTTTATACAGTCCTTGAGATGACAGTCTGTGCTCTGTTAATGCAAGCCATAAAAAATAACCTTGCTTGTTCTTCCACAGCCAGTTCCAGTGGTGTATCTCCATGTGGTACATTTTTTAGTCAAGCTGAGAGTCTTTAGAAAGGTACATGAAACTAATTTCAAAACTGCAACTAGTGGTGTGTGTTACCTGTCTCCTGTGATATTTATATTTTATACAGTCCTTGAGATGACAGTCTGTGCTCTGTTAATGCAAGCCATAAAAAATAACCTTGCTTGTTCTTCCACAGCCAGTTCCAGTTACTACAGTCAACAAATATTCCAGTAGTTCTTGTAACTACAGTGTTATAGCTGAAGTAAAAGTTCTCCATGTAATGCAAGGTAGTTCCCTTGTAACGTTTAAATCCTGTCTTGCAGAAATAAAGAATTAAGCAGACGGAGGTTACAATTGCCATCTGATTTTATTGAAGAGGTGTAGTTCAACATATTCAAAACCTGTTGTTATGGTAATACAGAAAACTATAGTAAAATGGTGTCTCATTATACAGTGAATGTGTATGTCATGATCACAGACACACAGATTGAGTAAATGTCAACTGCTGGGGCTGAGTTTAAAAGTTTGGCAATAAAATACATGTCTGAGGGTGGAATGTTATAGGATAATTTTACTCTGTACATTTAGAAATAAACGAACTACAATGTGTCTACATATTCTTGCAAACTTCCCAAGTTAATGTAGTTTAGCTCATAGGTTATTTTTGTTCAGTGTTTGTATTTGTCATGCCTTGGTTCCTGGAGTCCTGAACTGATGTGTAGGATTTTTGTAACTGTAAGCCAGAACGGATCCAGTCAGCAAATCACCCTAAAACACCAGTGGAATGTGTGATTCTTGTTAGGGCCAAAGTGCCACTAAAGGGTGGGACACACTGTGAATGACACTAAAATGTCTGATCTGATGAATCCCAATGGAATGGCAGGACCACCACAGGCAGCACTTGCTCACAATTACGATTAAATAGTTGAACTGTTTTTTTCCAAACAAAATTTGCTTGGGAAGTGGGGGATAATGGAAGAAGGCAGGAGAGAGATTTATGTGAGGAGGGGAATACAGTGAACCTTCTGGTCCTGGATTGCAGGTAGATGATAAGTAAGAAGGGATTGTAAAGAAATGAGATTCTTCTCTACGTTGCTTAGGTGAGAACGATTCCATCCACTTCTAAGAATGGATGAAGATGTATTAATTTAACTTCTTAAATTGCCTTGGGCTCAGTGATCCGTTAAGACGAGTGTGTAGTTTGTGACCTGTGGCTGTTGCTGCAGGGACACCTCAGCTCTGCCCATTTGCAGCTGCCTCAGCAGAAAGGGGTCTCTGAATGCTCTTCTCTACCAGCTTTCCAGTCCCAGCTCCCAAAAATACTTACATTTTGCAAACCACCAGGAAAGTCTTTCAGGTACTGGGAGCGGTGCACAGATGGTGCTTGAGAGGTTTCATCCCCCCTGTTTATTGACAGTGTAGTATTTCTTGGAAAGGCAGAAGGATGGGAAGAAAAGCAGGGATTTTCATTGCAGTAGTAAGTGTTGCTGCTGGGGATTTCTGCCCCGTTCCCAGGTGCTGTGATGCCTTGGAAGTGTAACCCTTTGGGTGTAAGGGTCTTTCTTAATTACTTGGTGGCTTATGTTGCAAAATGTTATTAGCCATGAGCTGGATTTATAGAATACTTGTTCAAATGAGGTACACTTGCCTTGGAAGTGTAAGGGTCTTTCTGAATTACTTGGTGGCTTATGTTGCAAAATGTTATTAGCCATGAGCTGGATTTATAGAATACTTGTTCAAATGAGGTACACACTTAATAGAAGTAAAATCACCAGCTTCAGACAGAAATTTGTAGTGACACATTTGTTTAAAAATCCTGTTTCCTTAATAGGTTTATACCGGAGTAAGTTTTGTGTGTTGAGAAGATACCAACTGCTACACCTCATTTGCTTGTTTAAATTCTGGTTGCTTTTGCATGCCATATTGCAGTTCATTTTCATTTCTGTGTTTTCCTCGTTTGGGCTCATTTCTCATTCGTGTTTTTGTCTCATTTGTTTCCATCAGCAAATGCCCAGCACACCAGGGTTTGTGGGATACAATCCATACAGCCATCTGGCCTACAACAACTACAGGCTGGGAGGGAACCCGGGCACCAACAGCCGGGTCACGGTAGGAGAATCAACTATTACATCCTCCAGCAAACAACAGGAATTGACCAGAAATGGCTTTAGAGTTAGGTTCTTCTGAGTCTTGGCTGCTGCCTCTTCTTTATAAAAACAAAGAATTACTTCTGATTCTTATTCCCCAACCCTACCCCCCTTCCCTTTCGCTCTGAAACCTTTTGCAGGAAAATGGACTTCCAGCTCAGCAGAGAAAAATGTGGTAATCGTGTATGATGCAGAATTCCAAAAAGACAGACTTTGTGGTCTTCAGTGCCCACTGCATGCCCAGGAGAAGTTCTGTAGCGTGGGTACAGGCTCTCGGAGGGAGGGAACTACTCTTTATTGAGGTTTATTGGTACAAAAATAAGGAAGAACATTTTCCAAATGGAGATCGTTGATAGTGGTTGCATCATACTGTTGAGGCACACAAGAGATACAAGCTTTATTTTTCTTTCCAATCTTAGTCTGGTAATAATTGCAAAGTCCCAAGCTCAGAAATTATTTTCTTTCCACAAAAGTGTGGTGGTGGTAGAATAGTATCCTTTTGGATCTCGTACTCTGACAGTGTGTGGAAAATGGATGTTACATTCATTTTTCATGGAGTGAACAAAGTGAGACGGAGTCAAATGACAAGAGAGGTGACAGCTCCTTTCAGACACAGCTAAAGCCCTGAGCACTGGGTGCCATTAGGAAACAAAACCAGACTGGAAGTGTAGCGTTTTCGTAACTAACACAACAGAAATAGAGTAAATCCTAGAAGTGTAGCATTTTTGTAACTAACACAACAGAAATAGAGTAAATCCCTGATTATTTTTTTTTTTTAAGTTCCTGTAATTCTCATAACTTCAAGGTTTTTCATGTAAAACTTTCTACCTCAAAATGTCTGATTAGTTTGGAACGTGATATAAAGAACAAATACATGGTGCTTTTAATGAAGTGTACTCTTCTTATGCCTCTCTCATATAAACCTTTCAGACTTTATACATGAAGTTGATCTGGTTTGTTAAAACAGACCTTCCCCAAACAAGCTGGAACTTGACTGAGCACACTCTCTGAATGTAGACTTTTCTCCTCATAGGAGAATAAGTTAGGTTTTGTCTGAGAACTTCCATTGTTTCTGTATGTCATAAGCATATACAGCCTTCTCTGCCATGCATATATCAGTATATGTATGGTGTCTTTAAATTCCTGTTAATTTAAAAGCATTAAACAATTTCCGTTGATGTTTTTCAAATCCATCTGTATGTGTATCTATGTGTACATTTTGGTAATGCATATACCTCATGTACATTATTTATATCTATACACAACTCTGTATGCATTGTCTCATAGAGCTCCATAAATTCAGCAAAACAAAAAATAGCAGGAGGAAAAAATTGAAAGCTGAATTCTGACCATGAGCCACCTTGGCCAAATACAAGTATTTGTTCATCTATGGCCCTAGTCCTGAAAAATCTTGAAACTGCTTTCTGTTTTCATGAAAATGCTCCCACTTAAGAGAACTCCTCGCGTGTGGAAGTGCTCGAATAGCGGAGGTTCCTGGAGCCTGGTCACTGCTGGTTTAGGAGAAGAGCCTGTGGGTGCTCTGGGACGAGGGGACAAGGGGGTGCAGCCACACTTAGTGCTCAGCACCCTCTTGTGTGGCACTAGCAGTGTGCTTGCCAGCGGACAAACCAAGGAAGAGCAGAGCACAAAGGCTATTACAGGTTAATTTGGACAGTTCAGTACAGCTCGGGTACAGGTAACGGGCACGTGGACAGATCAGTTGCAGAGGGTTGTTTACCTCTTCCAATGAGTAGTTTTAATTGGCTGCAAATTAGCACTGACATGTTTTGCAGACAAATATATTGCTCAAATTAGCTGAAAATGAAAATATGTCATGATAACTTCATGATCTTAAACTTTTTTCACCCGTACAGCAGCCACAGTAAATTTGTCAGAACAGGTACAACAAACTGCTCATCAGAAGTGAGGAAAACAACCAGCTGGGATTGGTGTTTCCATGGATGTTTCTAAGCGGTGTATTTCAGATTTAGAAATACGGAGCCCTTTGAAGATTTATGTAGTTACTACTCTGCAGACTTACAGATAAAAGGACAAACTTAGATTGCAGAAATGTGGCTGAGACCAGCTCAAGCCGGTACCTGTTCATGGTTTGGGTAGTTTTGGTGCTGTTGCTTGGTGGGTGCGTGTGGTTTGTTTGTGTTAACTGCACAAGAATGAGTGTTTTCCAAAAGTAGTGTGTATAGAAACTGTCTGGTGATCACATTAACGAATGGATTTATTCGGTTCTTTTATAGGCTTCCTCTGGTATTACCATTCCAAAGCCCCCCAAACCCCCAGACAAGCCCCTGATGCCCTACATGAGGTACAGCCGGAAGGTGGGTATACAGTGTCAAACGAGTCATAATAAACGTTAGTGTTGGTACGTGCTAACAATTAATTGCTGTTATCTTAGTTTCAGCTTCTAAACTTTTACTTCTAACAGCCTGCACATTCTTTTTAGGGAATTGTAAAGTACAGATGCCTTGCCCTTCAGAACAAAGGCAGCAGTAGTCTGTTCACACAGGTGCCAGTTTCTGGGGGGAAAAGTTTTCTCTAAAATGCTAATTCCTACCACTGTCTCTGCTGACAAGGATCCACCCTGCCACAATCAGAAGTTCCCGTGACTTACTGACAGAACTTTTTTTATATAAAGGAAGTTTTCCTTGCGGTAAACTGGGCTTGGTACAGTGCTGTAGCTGGACGGAAGAGTAGCGATGAGTGGACTTTGCATGTTCTTCACCACCTTAGCCTGTGGCAACGGTCGCTTCGCTATTCTGTGAACTGTTTGACAGAAAGTAGGAGAGAGACTCTTGTGGAGTCTGACATCTGATGGGGCATGGGGAGGGCATGGCAGCCTGGCTGAAGCAGGGGAGCCAGAAGGAGTTTCTTCCACTTCTGGTAAAGTATCTTTACCAGCGCTGTCTGTCTTTAGGCAAAAAACCATCAACACACACAAATAAAAAAAAAAAAAGTCAAGTGGCGCAGCAAGAAATAACACTGGCAGCTCTCCTCTCTCTTTTTTTTTTTTTTTTTTTTTCCCTATAAAGTTAGAAACTTTTTTGGTGGAGTCAGAACTTGTTGGAACTCAAATTGATCAGCAAGACTGAAAAATATTTTGAAATGTTACATTCTGATCTGAAAAAAGCTCAGTGCTCTTTATCGTAATCTACTGCTGGATGTGTTTACTCAGTAGCATTTTTTTTTTTTCCCAGAGATGCAGCGATGTGCATTTCAGAAGAGCATTAAGAGGGTTAAAGGCAATATTCTCATGAAACCCAAGCCATTTCAGCAATTGCCTGTTTCAGTAGATGGCTTCCTACTGACTTCCTGCCCCAGAAAATAACCGAGATAGTTTAGCCAGACTCATTCCTAACTTAATCCTGTTTTTCGTGGTGATTCCAGAAAGAACACTGAGATGACAATATAAAATGTTTAATTTGGAAGTATTTAGATATCATTAGTAAAGCTCCAGCTGTTTCTGTTAAGGTCTGGGACCAAGTGAAGGCGTCCAATCCTGATTTGAAGTTATGGGAAATTGGCAAGATTATTGGAGGAATGTGGCGAGATCTCACTGATGAAGAGAAGCAAGAGTATTTGAATGAATATGAAGCTGAAAAGGTAAATGGAAGAAATCTGGGATGTTTATTACAGCTGATTCTTCTAGGAACTGGTCTGAGAAGAACAATTCATCTTTCCCATGCAGTGGTGTATGAGGCATTCACGAGAGCCCTGTATGTAACGTAAATGGAAGTATGTCCTGACACGTCTTTTAGATTTTTTTTCTTTTTAAAATAACTGTACATCAACTGTGACTGGTCAGTTTTTAGACCTAATTCAAAATGAAGTATTTAAAATTGAGTGTCGATTTTAACTGTTTAATGAATGGATTTGATTGTACAACATCAGTATTGAAAAGATTGTCTCAACACCAAAATCCTCTTTCAAAACTGGTGCTCTGCAACTACCGCTGTTGTCATGAACGGGTTCGTAAAAGACTTCCAGTCACGTAGGGTTTGGGTTTCCTGGAGTAACTGGTGTAACTCCACGCTATGGCATAGTGTTTGTTTCTTAACAGAGAAATGCTACCGCTTTTAGGGTTTTCTTGTGGTTTGGTTTTATTGATCTTAATGCCAGAAGGTGACAGCCACCTGGTGTCCAGGCTGGTAAGTGCTGAGGCGTTACGAGCCTGGTTTTGTGGTCCTGAGGGACAAAGGGACAACGGTCCTGCTGCCGAGTTGTGCTAAAACCTGGCAGGCGTCCGAGGCTGCGTGTGACCTGCTCTAATCTAAGCTGGTTTTATTCCAAGTCAGTAGGGAAGTACTTCAAAGCTTGATGCTCTTAATTGAAAAAAAAAAAAAAAGAAAGTCAAGGAATTCTATTTTTTAACTTGACGATGGTGTTTAGATTGTAAGCTCCTTGGGGCAGGGGCCATCTTCTTTATATTTTTACAGTGCCGAGATTAGAAGCGTCCCAGTCCTAATCCTAGAGAAAACAAGACGTTTAGGTACTTCTAACAATACTGTAGATTATATCTTATTTTTCATTGGAAATACCTCTTGGCAAAATTTTAATCATGAGGTTAAAGAAAGCAATTCAAAGGGGAAAATCCTTCAAAGACGGTGAAAATAGTGATGCAGTCCTGCTGCCAGGAGGAGACGGTAGCCTGGCTGCACATTCTGTGTCATCCCAGTGCAGGGATGGAGCAAAGAGTGGAAAAATCGTAAGTTATTTTGAAAACTGTTCCATGTTATACTGGAGTAAAGGAAGAGAAGAAATGGGAATCAAAGATCTAGTCAGAACTGCAGAGAATTAACTGAGACTATTCTAACTCATCTTTTTAATCTTATCAGAGTTTGTCTGATCATAAATGCCGTGTTCTGAGGTGTTTGATTTTTATAAAGCAAAGCAAATTTGATTTGAAAAAATCGATTTTTAAAAGCAAAGCAAAACTATTGTGAGACTTCTTGGGTGTTAAAACCGAAACGTACCTAAAAGCGCTCAGGTAGTGTTTTTAAAATGTGAAGGACTATGGAAGAAGTTCTAATTTGTAGAAGGAAAGACTGAGAGAATCTGGTCATTAGTGTCTCAGCCAGATGATTGGAACCAGCTTTGTCCGTGTGACCACAGTGTGAGTTGCACAGACTGCGGTTACGGCACCTCTGAAATGCTCCCCTGGTGCAATCAAACCGTGTCGGTCACCTTTCAGATAGAGTACAATGAGTCCATGAAGGCCTACCATAACTCCCCGGCCTACCTCGCCTACATCAACGCCAAGAGCCGCGCGGAGGCGGCGCTGGAAGAAGAGAGCCGGCAGCGGCAGTCGCGCATGGAGAAGGGAGAGCCCTACATGAGCATCCAGCCCGCCGAGGATCCCGATGGTAAGCGGGGAGGAGTCTGTGTGCTCATCCATGGGATGGTCTCATTCCAGGACCGGCGGTGGGAGCAGATGCCAGATACAGAAAACTACCAGTGTGTGACTTCCACAATGCTCAACTGGCTTCCTTTCTCTTTTGGTACCTTTAATACTGGTTTTCGTTATCACACTTTATTTCATCCAGCTGACCCTCTTGTTTCCAAAAGCCAAGGAGGCAAAGCCAATGGCATGAGTTATTCCAGCCCTTAATTATGTGTGAAGTAATGCTTAGAGTTCAAACCAAGTCCGCTTAAAGCTCTGTAATGGCTTTAACACACGCCTTGTAAAAGGCTTAGATGCCTGATTTAATCCACTTGGAATGGAATTTTGTGCTTTGTTACCAGAAGTACGTGGTTCTGACAGGCAGAGCTCTGGTGTCATTAAAAGCACCTGAACTTTGAATGCGTTCAACAACTGTCATTTGAGATTGTTTAGAAAATGTTACCCTTGCCCTTGACAAGTTGATGAGAAAATTCTGAAGGTTTATTTGACTGCAAGGAAACGCACCCCACCCAGGGGAGAGCTCACTCCTGCACCCAACGTCTGCGCCTAAATCCATCACCAAATACTTGTTGAAACCTGAGGGTGAAAAATGTTCTCGGTCAGATACGCCCTTTTTCTCTCTCCCCCATGGAAGAGCTACCCTTGAGATAAAGCTCATGGCAAACAGCACTTTCCCCAGCGTGAGGTACCTGCAGAATTCGTAAATGTGTCCCAGTAGGTGGCATTTTGGGACCTCAGAGCCTGGTCTGTGGTGCCTCCACCCTCTGAGCTTGGCCCCAACCAGTGCCTGGGCCCTGAGCTGGGACAGAAGAGCGGGTTGTTCCCTCTGACAGAAGCCTTGTTTCTGTCCCATCCCGCGTGTCACTGCCATCCAGAACTTTTGCTGTAAAAGGAACCTTGTTAAGAGGACAAAGGCACAACTTTAAGGGGATCAATTTGCTTAATACTTGTGTGACCAGTGGGAGAGTGATCTCCATTAGAACTTGATGTAGAATAAATTCAGCTTCTGGACCTTTCTCCATGCCATTGTTCTGGAAGATAATTCATACGTAACTGATTTTAATTCTCAACTAAATGTGAATTATACTCACGAAGTTTCTTCCAAGTTCATTTCCTCACCAGTACTTAATGCTATTTAATTACTGTGCTTTAAATTCTAATAGTTTGACTTGGATTTTTTCAAGTCTATTTTGTAGACAGGTTCTTGACACCAAAACTGCAGAATGTGTTTTGATTTTTATGATGTTGAAAGGCTTTGCCTGCTTTCCTTCAAGAAATACAGACAAAACAGGAAGACTTCTGTCTTTCATGGGCTGAAAGCTTTTGAGTGCTGCTGGGTGTAGGAAAACACGTCATTTTGTTCTGCTTTGTAGCATCAAACTGAATTTTACTACCAAAATGAGTCCCTAGAACAATCCTTAATGCTGTACTTCTTGTTAAATTCTGACAAAGTTCAGTATCTTGCCATAAATTGGGAGCTCTTCCAATTTGATCAGAGAGAAAAAAAATACCCTTGACTTGAAATATTCTTCGATCTTTGTAGTTAATCCTCTAGATGCAGGTCCCACAAGGCAGCTTAGTTCCTGTTGGGCTTCCTTTAATTTCTTTTCTCTGCAAGAGGCTTGTGAGGAGCCCAGCCCTTCACCTCTCTGCTCTTTTCTTTTTCTCCTGAAGTGTTTTTTTTTTTTTCAGTCGCTGTTCCGTAGAGAACTGCATTTTCTATAAATCAATCATTGGATTCTCTTGTTACATTACTATGAATTTCAGCAGTGAGTGAACATGTATCACTGCTTCATCCTCTCATTCCTCAGGGTTTCAAAAAAATAAGTCCTTTTGATCTGTGAGCAAAGTGTACTTATAGAGGAGTCACTCTCCTGTTGGTATTTTGCACTAGATATTGTTCTGGTAACAGGATTAATCAGGAGTGGGCTTTTATTTGGTGTACTAATTGTTCCTCTTACTCTGGAAATGTGGAAAGCAACGCAGTGAATAACAAGGTGAATCCAAACATCAGACATGGGAAATGCATGTAAAACGAGTGCTGTTAGAGCTGTGCAGGGGAGATGCTGTTCCAGCCTCATACCAGCTTTTTCTCTCCTTAACCTGAGGGTCCATATTCATTTGTATGAACCTTGTGCCACGACAGCAACTGGCATTAAGGTTTTTATTTTGTTTGTAATTACTGGTAAGGGGGGGTGCAGTGTCATTAGACTTGGTACTCTTTTTGTGGCATTAAAGCACAAAAAAACTCTTAAAACTCTTGTTCCAGATTACGACGATGGGTTTTCGATGAAGCACACGGCCACGGCTCGCTTCCAGAGGAACCACCGTCTCATCAGTGAGATCCTGAGTGAGAGTGTGGTGCCCGACGTCCGCTCCGTCGTCACCACGGCCAGAATGCAAGTTCTTAAACGCCAGGTTCAGTCTTTAATGGTTCATCAGGTAAAGATAAATGATATTAAGGCAGTTAAAACAGAAGGGCTTGGGCTGTACGCCAAGTCTCGGATCGTTTGATCATCTACATGACTGTTCTTGTTGGGTGTCAATGTTCTGTGCGCTCCAGTAGCTCATCTCTGGTTCCTTTGGGAGGTGTGAGATGTGAGACTTCACCTTCTGTGCTCTTTTGTTACTGAGAATCATGTTAGACTGCATTTGGTTCTTGAGGATACCTGAAATATTAATTCCATAGCTCTTCATTACCATATATAACTCTTCTGTTTGTAGTGTGAGTCTTCTGTTTAACAGGGACTGGTAGAGCTGTGACTTTCGTGTGGCTTATGACACATAAGCTTATTGGTAACGGTTCTTTATTACAGTAAATCCTCCCTATTGTAGTGTTTTTTCATTGGAAGTTAAATGCATACAAGGAAATGGAGTGAGGTCACACGTGTGTTTCACTGAGCCTTGGGCATGAGCTGGTGTTTTCCAAACATGCCTGTTAACAAAAGGACTCTGTGAGAACAGTCTGTGTACGTGGAGGGGAAGAAAACAGAGAGATCAGAATTAGATAGAGATTTGTTGCTTTTTTTAATTGACAACATTAAAAAAGGGGGTGGAGGGGGAGTGGCTCTCCTTTCCCCTGAATTGTGGTGTTTCTCCATTAGAGAATGTAACTGGTGTGTTGTGTGTGTGTGTGTATTTTTTTATATATATGTATATACAGCTGTGTGGTATAAAATGCATGGATTTTATGCTGGAGGATTCACCTCAAGCACACCCTCTTTTCCATTTCCAATCGCCCTGAGTGACTGCACAGACCCAGTTATTGTTCATACTTTCTAATACAAACTCCTTAGCTCTTGGGTATTAGATGGAGGGAAGGCATAACGAGGTTTCTATACTATATGGGTGTATTTTAAAATACTGGTCAAAATACTTTTATCTGTAGCTGTGAGCTTTGTGCAGTTCCTCAGGTGACTGCACAGTCAGGTTCTGACTGTTTATTTCATTTCCAGCGCAAACTGGAAGCTGAGCTTCTGCAAATTGAAGAGCGCCACCAGGAAAAGAAGAGGAAGTTTTTGGAAAGCACAGAATCCTTTAACAACGAGCTTAAAAGGGTACAACTCCCACTTTTCTCCACAAACTCGGAGCAATCTGCTTGTTACCCCTTTGTACAAGTGCTCTGCCTGCTCCTGTTGGGCTCTGATTCAATTAGGAGGAATTACATGACTGAGGGCAGTGTGTCCGGGGCTGGGGGAGTGTTAGAAAACCTGCAGCACTTGTATTATTTCATGCTCCTTCAGTGACCTTTAGTGGTGACATTCAGGCAGTGCAGTTCTGAAGTGCCTTTGGGCTGGACTGGTGGAGTTCCCCAGAGTGGCTCATGCAGAATACGCTGCTCCTTCCCTGGCTGCCATCAGATAACAAGGTTTAGGTGTTTTTTTTATCCCCTTTTTTTGTGTTAATTTGCTTGTGTCTCCCTCCCTGAAGCTTTTAATATAAAGGACTGAAAATAACGATGCTGCTTGTAGAAATATTGAAGTCATGAATGGGTTTTACTGATGTTTTGGCTTTCAGTGTAACTGAGGTGGTAACAGAGCATTCTCTTTTCTTGAATTGCTAGTTATGCAGTCTGAAGGTGGAAGTGGACATGGAAAAAATTGCAGCTGAAATTGCCCAGGCTGAGGAACAGGCTCGCAAGAGGCAGGAAGAAAGGGAAAAGGAAGCAGCGGAGCAAGCGGAACGCAGTCAGAATAACCCAGCAGCTGAGGAGGAGCAGGCGGCTGCCAAGGCTGAGGAGAAGAAGGAAGAGGAGAGTGCTCCGATGGAGACAGGTAACTGGTTGGGGACGTGGAAGGATGAGCAGGGAGGGATCTGCAGGGGCTCAGCGTAGCCAGGGGCGGCTGGTGCTTTTGCTGTGAGCAGGGAGAGGCTGCAGAAGAACAACGTTCAGAACAGTTAACTTGGTGAACATGAGCGTTCTCTTTGTCTCATTAAATTGCTCCTTTGGAAAAGGGGAAGGGGGTAGGACACCAGAGGGGCTGGTGTAATGCTTTGTGTGAGGTACCAAGGGCAAAGAAAATTGCTTTCTAAACCTAATTCACCTTCTAGAGGTGGGTTAGTGAGGAGCAGCCAAGGGGGTTTCCCTGTCCCAGAGCCAGCCCCCAGCCAGGATGACAGGACTGTGCTCCGTTCTGTGCTGCTCTTAGAGCTGATGGCAGGTCTCTCTGTGTTCTGTCCAGTGCTGTTAGAAAATAGTGTTGTGTTGAAGAGTATCATAGAATCATAGAATTGCCCAGGCCGGAAGGGCCCTCCAAAGGCCATCTAGTCCGCCCCCCCCGCAGTCAGCAGGGACACCCCCAACTAGACCAGGGTGCCCAGGGCCTCGTCGAGCCTCTCCTTGAATATCTCCAGGGAAGGGGCCTCAACCCCCTCCCTGGGCAACCTGTTCCAGTGCTCCACCCCCCTCACAGTGAAGAACCCTCTCCTCATCTCCAGTCTAAATCTGTTCCCCTCCAGCTTGAAGCCATTGCCCCTCGTCCTGTCACTGCAGGCCTTTCTAAACAGGTTCTCCCCAGCCTTCCTGTAGCCCCCTCAGGTACTGGAAGGCTGCTATTAGGTCTCCCCGGAGCCTCCTCTTCTCCAGGCTGAACAACCCCAGCTCCCTCAGCCTGTCCTCAGAGCAGAGGTGCTCCATCCCCCTCATCATCAGCAGCTGATGTCTCCAAGTCGATGTAACAGCATGAGTGTAAGGGAAAGGGGACCAAGGAGTTTGAGTTGCAGCTGATGTCTCCAAGTTGATGTAACAGCACGAGCGTAAGGGAAAGGGGACCAAGGAGTTTGAGTTCCAGGGCTTCTGGTTTAACAGGGCACACGTGGCAGGGTTTCTGAGGTCAGGCAGCTGCAGGTGACTCTGGGGACACTGTGTGGCAGCAGCACTGAGCACTGAGAGCTCTCTCAGAGCTGTGCCTGGTACTGCACACTCTGTGACAGAAAGAACTGCCCTGGAATATTCGTATTTATTACAGATTCTGCTTCTTCCTATACATTCTAACTGCACGACCTCAATAAATGTATTATCGGGGTGTAAATGACACTGAGAAATGTCTTCTTACAGAAGAGCCTCACCCAGAAGAGAGCACAGAAACCCAGCAGAACGGTGAGGAGGGAACATCCACCCCAGAGGACAAGGAGAGCGGGCAGGAGGGGGTGGATAGCACTGCGGAGGAGGGGACCAGCGACAGCAACACGGGCTCAGAGAGCAATAGTGCCACGGTGGAGGAGCCTCCCGCAGACCCCAGCACTGAGGATAGTGAGAAGAAAGAATAAATATTGACTTATTTCATGTGTCTCTTTTTAATGAAGTGCTGGTTTGATTTCAAAATGTGCTACCACGGCTTTTGTATCGTCCTTGGCTCTATCACTTGTCCCCACAGGACGTTGGGTTTCAGTAACGTGTCAGATGATCAGCACGGTGACTTCAGGGGGGCTGCAGGGGCAAAAAGGACACCTTAGAAGGGACAGAAAAGCAAACCTCCCGTGTCTGAGCCATCTGGAGAGGTACCTCCTACTGCTGGGGATTTCTGCCCTAGAAAGACAGCGTTGGGTTTGGGATTTAGATCAGAAATCAGCCTTTTCCCTTTCTCCCAGTTAGGTCACCCCAGAGGAAATAAGCCTTTTTCCAGGGCCCTTGTTGGTCTGTGCTGGGGTGGGACGTGCATCGTCCCACACTGCAGCCCCCAGCCCCGGGGGCACCCTGGGGACAGGGCACTGCTTCGGGGGGGTACGAGTGTCACTGGGGCACCCCAAAGCTGCCATCAGTGCTGGGCAGAGACACGAGGTACCGGGTACGACCTGGGGCATTGCCCTCATCTGCCACAACCCAAAAAGCTCACAGGAGCCCGGTGTGTCCCACCCCTGCCCAGGTCTCTCTGGGTGCTCGGTGCTGCCCCTGCCTGAGGCTGGAAGGGGGTTTTAAGTGTAATCTTTGTCTTTTCTAGAGTAGCTGTTCTGCAGGGACAGGAACATGCTCCTGTTCATGCAGCGCTTCAGGAGCTCCCTTTCCAAGGGGCTGATTATAGTCTGGGAGTAGATGATGTATCTTAGGGGTTTTTTCTGGGATGCAGGATTATTTTCAACAATATTCTTTGCTTTTCTTTACCAATGAACTCCTTTACGTGCTGCTGAGATACCCTGGTGTGGCCTCAGCCCGAGAGTTGGCAAAGCACGGAGCAGGAGAGCTCTTAAAAACGTGTGTCCTCTGAGCAGACACTCATTGATATGCCCCAAATGGTAAAAAATAGTAGTTTTGCTTGTTGTGAGCTTTGAAAACCTCTGGGAACCCTAGAAATCTACTGAAAATGCCCCATTTTGCCCTGTGTAAGGAGAGGCCCCGCTGAAGGAAAAATAAATTTAATTGTGACCACAGATACAAGCCGTTTGGTGACTTTACAAGTGAAGAGAACACATGATGCATACGCTTCGATGAACTAGTGTGTTTTTATGGAATAGTGGGTACATCGGATGGAAATGTTTTTTAAATCCTTTTGGTCTTTTTTTTTTTTTTTTTAAATAGTCAAATAAATCCAACCTGTTTGGTTTTTTTTAAGCTCACAGTGGTCTGGTTCTTGTCTTTGGAGGTGATGCCTGTGTTTGATTCAGGGGCTTTCAGCAGCCCTTTCTCCATCCTAAGCCCAGAGGAGAATAAAACAGGGAATTCATTCCAGAAAAATGGGATGTACTGGAAGGGGAGGGAGGAGGCAGATGTGAAGGATGAATCAGTTCCTGCAGAAGGGGCTGGAGCTCACCCAAAGCCCCAAACACCCCTCGGTGTCACTGGTGGTGGCTGTGGAAAAGGTTATTGCAAACCCAGTGGAAATGGGGAAGAGAGAAATCACTGGGGGAAGTTTTCCTCCAGTGAGCACGGTCCACAAGGAGCTGCCTACAGGGGAAGGCTTGGATATTCCTTCTCTTGTAAGGAACAGCAGGAGTTCTGGTACCAGTGTGGTTTTTTGACAAAGGTGGACACAAAAAGAACCCCCTTAGGAGGAAACAGCCCCCGTGACTGCTGCTGAATTCGGGTTTTAAAAGTTTGAAGCAGCGAAACCTGCCTAAACGTTCAATTTAAATTCCAAATTTCAGTTTCTGGGAAGAGCAGGCGAGTGGTTCCGGCCGTTATCCCTCCCACTCCCAGTTACACCCGTTAAATTGCATTTTAGGAGTTTCTATTCCCAGCAATTAAAAGGATTGCTTTTAGAAAAACACATCTGGAGGCCCTGAGGAGAAGGGGGGAGTTACCCAGTGACCCACTTTGGGTTCTCACTCATCATTAACTGTGCCAAAAAGCCAGTAATTAAGAGAGGAGGGTTATTTGTTCCACTAAGTCATTGGTCTGAGGAAACAAGTCACCAAAAATAACCAGGGGCTGGTTGAAATAACGAGGTGTGAGAATTCAGATAAAGCTCTACCTGCAGCTGGAGATTCTCTCTCTTTGGGTCCCACCAAAGCCAATAAAGCCAACACCAAACACGTAACTTGTTTCATGGTCTAAGGTGGTTCTTGCCAATAACTGAACACTTCTGGATCTTCAAATCTGAAGGCAAAGCTTAGGAAGGACGGTGGAGAGGTTGGGGTCAGCGCTCGGCCCCAAACATCTCCCCAGGGTTCAGGAGGAGTTTCTTTGCATCGTGTTTGCCCTTCAGTTTGAAGTGGAAGCTCCCAGAAAGGTAATTAACTCAGATTTAAAGGAATTAATGGGATCACTCCCTCCTGTTTGGTTGATTCCCTTAACCCCAGGCTGGGCCTGTTGGTGCTGCAGAAGGTGACACCGACGGGGACGCTGGAACGGAGCACTTTGGTTACACAGAGATCACATCTCACACTCCACACCTCGAGATTTATTTACTGCATTTTGCTCTTCAAAAATAAAATTTTCTTGACCCATTGCTGCTGCCAACATAAAGCTCTGATTTGTGAAACGATTCCGGCCGCTGCAGGAGGAGACCCCCCACCTCCTTGAGCAACAGCCCCGGGTTCCAGAGGCCGTTTGTGCTTTTCATCTGCTTCTTATTCTCAAGGTTTATGTAAATAACAGTAATTATTGGCAAAGACAGGGTGTGTTGCAGCTCCGGGTGTGTACCCCAGTGAGTAGGTGTCATCTTCAAGGGCAAAATAACTTCTCCAGGCACATGGAAACCTCCTGAGCAAACTCCCAGTGGGCAGCGGGTGGACCCTGACCAACCCCGAGCCCCTGGCAGAGGTGCCCACGATGGACATAAGTGTCAGGGACCTGGTGCAGGAGAAGGACCTTCTTGAGGGCCTGGCCTCCAGAGAAACCCAGCTCCTTCCCTGAGCTCCTGCATCAGCCCATCACTGGAACCAGCTCCCAGGAGCCCGGTGCCTCCTTAACACCTCCAGACCCTCCACCACCAGAAACAGAGAGCAGCTGATTGAGCTCCTGATGAGCCCACACCCACCTGCGGGTCCTCAGCAGGACTGAAACCCTCCCACCAGGAGGATGGGGCAGATAAAGCCCACCAGCTTGTTGTGCTTTTGCTTCTGGGCTCACCGGGGTGAGTGGTTTGTTTTTTTCCTGGTTCTTCTGTGCTTTGTTTGGTGAGTGGGTGCGTGTGTGCAAGCTCCTGGGGCTCCTTCCTCCCCCAGTTGTGGTTGGGGTTCTCTGGGAGGGGGGGGGACAGCAGGGGATGCTGGTGCTACTGGGAACAGGGTGGGTGCCATTTGAGGGGGGGTCTGACCATCTCCCACGGGTGCCCAAGAGCTGGTGAGCCCTTCACACCCACAGGGGCTGACAAGGAAATGAGGAGGCAAAGCTGAAACGTGGCATCGTGGCGAGGGAGTTGTTTTCCTTGGTTTGTTTTTCTCCTCAAGTGAAAAAACAGGGTTTGTTTTTTTTTTTTTTGAGAGTCTGGTTCGTGCTTTGTGACCCCTGATGTCCCCACGGCTCTTTGGGATCTTCTGCAGGTAAAAGGTTCTCTTCTGCATTGGGTAGTTCTCAAAACTATGCTTTTATCTCACCACAAAAATACACTTAGGAGTTATTAAGATGCCTGGGTTAAAAAAACTGCTCTTAAAAGTTTTTTGGGCTTTTTTTGCATTAATGTAATTATCAGATTTTATCATCTTCCCCAAACCTTCTGACCTACAAAACTGAAATACAGTAACGGGTACGTGCAGGGGGCTCCAAAGGGTAAATATTGAAAGGTATTTAGGTGTTAAAATATGAACAAGGCACCTTGTGAGGCTGTTCCAAAGCAATTCAACAGGCGAAGGGCTTTGCTCCAGAGGACTTGGCCTCAGAAGAGCTTTAAGCATCTCAACACCCTTCCAAAGCCCCAACCCACGTATGTGACTGCTGTTACCTTCCCGTGAAAGACAAAAGTCTCATGTTTGTGCAGCAGCTAAACTTCAGGAGGAAAAAGAAAAGCTTCTGAAGAAAATAAACAAGGGTTTAAAAAGAAAAAAAAAATAAAAATCACCTGGGATAGTCCCACGAAGCCGCGCTGCTCCCGGCACAATGAGGGCGTCAGCGGAGAAGCTGTGCTTACATAAAGGATTATCCCTGTGATAGAATGAAATGAAACAGATTAATAGAGCTTTGGGGAGATAAAATGTCAAAGTGAGACCAAAGCCTGGCCCAGCGGGGAGGCCAGGGCAGGCTGTGCAGGGAAGGGAGCGGGAGCTGCCGTCGGAAGGGCTGGGGTGCAGGGAGTCAGAGGTGGGGCCTTTTGCTTTTTCTTCCTCCCAAGTTTTGCCCTAAACCCCCAGCCAGGCAGGCTTTGCTTTTTATTTAAAAAAATAATAATAATTGGGTTTTCCCTTAAAGAAAACACCTTCAGTGTGGCATCCATCCCAGAGCCTTGTGCTCACACAGGGCCAGTAAAACCCCACTCTTTGCTCTGCTCCTTCGCTCCCTTCTCCTCCCAGCCTTTTACCGGCTGAGTGTCCCCAGTCCTGACTGCTGGAATAGTGAGAAAAATGTTCATCACCGCCTGGGGATGAGCACTGGTGTGGCTGGTGCTGGTGTGGTGCTGGCAGAGGTGCCTGGGCTGGGACCCGCGCTGCCACCAGGCATCTCACCCTCTGCCCGGCCACAGCAGGACACCCAGCCCTTCCCACAGCTCCAAACCACTGCAGATCCTGCTTTTCTTCACCAAATCCTCAGTGAGTACCAGGCAGCAGCCACAGGGTTTGTTTTGACCCTGCTCAGGGCTCCAAACTCCATAGTTATCCCTGGCACCGGGCACTGCCTGGATTCCCCCCCCACCGCCCCGATGGCAGCCGTGAGTGGGGCTCTGGGTTTCTGGCTTCATGTAGATTATGGTAAATAGAAATGAAAGCCCTTAAAAAGAACCTGGAAATAGAAATGAAAGCCCTTAAAAAGAACCTGGAATCCTTCTCTTTCCTTTTGTGTTTCCAACCTTCTAAGGAGAAAGAGCTGCAGTGAGAAACACTTCCCTGTGACAAAGGGATCCCTTGGGAGGATCCCAGGGGCACGGGGAAAGGCTGTTTATGGAGCCGGGCACTGCCTGGATTCCCCCCCCACCGCCCCGATGGCAGCCGTGAGTGGGGCTCTGGGTTTCTGGCTTCATGTAGATTATGGTAAATAGAAATGAAAGCCCTTAAAAAGAACCTGGAAATAGAAATGAAAGCCCTTAAAAAGAACCTGGAATCCTTCTCTTTCCTTTTGTGTTTCCAACCTTCTAAGGAGAAAGAGCTGCAGTGAGAAACACTTCCCCTGTGACAAAGGGATCCCTCGGGAGGATCCCAGGGGCAGGGGCACGGGGAAAGGCTGTTTATGGAGCAGACACCTCGGGGGGGAAGCACTTTGCTGGGGTGTAGGTGAAGCTTCAGGTGGTGTTTGCCAAGGGGAAGGCTCAGGCTTCCAGCACAGTCCTCCAGAAGGACTCTTCTCCCAGTTAGAGATGGAGAACGGGGAGTCCTGGACTTGGACCTTGGCTTTGCTGCCTGTTCCCAGTGACTCCCACTGCCCCCCCAGACAGAGAAAGAAACGGGGGGGTGTAAGAGCTACTGGTACAACTCCAGCAGAGGCTGGGAATCAGCTTTTTGGGCACCTCGGAGACAAACTGCAATCCATGGATGGCAGAACGTGGTGTTTCATCACCTCAAACAGAGGAGGGACTGGAACTGCACCCTCTTCCCCTGGGCAGACACACACTGAGCCCCACGTTCCTCCTGGACCAACTGGAGCCATAACGGCCTGTGCCTCGATGGGGCTGGCAGTGCCTGCTCCTGGTGCTGAAATCTTCCACCAAGAGCCTCCAATCCCAGATTCCAGGTCTACCCCGTGTGCCCAGAGCATCACCAATGGGGATTCTGCCAGTCTCGCCCAGGGGGTCTTATACTGGTGACCAGGTGGAGACCAGCTCCCCCAGTGCAGGCCTGGAGGCCGGGATGCTGCTCTGGTTGGTGCCTCTGTCTCTGTTTGTGTTCTCAGTTCCCTTCTTTCGCTTTGACGCCTTTTTTTTTTTTCTTTTCACGGCCTTCAAGGGGTTTTTTTGAAGTGGTTTTTGCAGTTATCAGGCTGGTGCCTTATT